TTGACTGAACGGTTCGGTCGGCCCATCTCGGGACCAGGCGGCCGGCCGTTGCCGACTGGGCCAAATGCTTAACATTTATTTATTATTAAGTACTATGGCTATTGCTATAGGTTTTTGATGTGTTGACTATATTGCAAGTAGCCTACATCAGTTTTTACCCTTAATCCCACTTTATCTGCTGATATTGCAGTCATGCAATTCAGTAACAGGCTCGTTAACACTTAAGTTAACCAATTATCACGAAGCAATGACATTTTAAAATATACTGAGGTTCTAGCTAAGCTTACAACTGTTTAATACAATGTAGGCTACTGGCAGAAGTAGTGTGAAAATGACTTGTGCTAGCTGTATTTTCTGTTTTCTTCTTACCTTTGCGGCACTAACTGTTCTTCGCTGCAGCAGCCAAATTTAAACCTTTTGAAAAGAGTTTGGTTAATTTTACGCATTTAGCAGCGTCGGACTTAAGCCCTTTTTTTTTCCCCTTTCTCCAAGTTTTTCTGCACCGCCTTTCCTTTTTTACGGCCCATTATCTAGCTTTTACTGAAAATTAGCTCGTGTTGCAATCTCTCTGATGACGTGCTTGATTTTGACTGAAAGGTTCGGTCAGCCCATCTCGGGACCAGGCGGCCGGCCATTGCCGACTGGGCCAAATGCTTAACATTTATTTATTATTAACATTATTATTATTATAACCATAGAGAAATCGTGCAAGAGATAAAAACCTGTCCTATGCGCTGGTGGCCCGTAAAAACAATTTTATTTATATATATTTAGAAAAAATCTGACCGGCCCACATTAAACAAAATTTGCCAGAATTGCCAGATGGCCATTCCACCCCTGCTGTGACCAGATGATTGACAGGCCAGTTTACAGTGACAGAGTGCATGTAACTATGTGACAGAGCGGTCCGTTAAAGACGCAATTGTATGACGTGAAAAAGAAAGATGTCCCAAAGCCTAATTGCCTGCTCTTCTACTACACACTCAAAAGTGTGTACTTTTTCTTCACCAAAAGAGTAGCCTACATAGGCTACTTTACGGGCATGGTAAAAGTAGGCACATTGGGCCGCAGCAATTTATGTCGAGTTCACACTGCACGATTTCCAAAGTCGCCGGATCACCGTTGTTGACTATCTGGGCTAGCATTCAGTTGTTGCTGTGTTCACATTGCACGATGGATCGGTGACAGTAGGACTTTACAATAGGAAGAATCGCCGACAAATCTGTCGGCAAACTAAGCTGCATTTCACAACCAAACCCACGCGAGAAGTGATAAGGAAATAACTCCTCCCCGAACTTCCCGTTGCCCTGTATTTTTCAGTCAGAACTCATTTCACACAGCAGGATTTTGAATCAGGATTTCTCTCAGATTGTGACATTGCGTCTTTGATAATTCACACTGCGTGATTGTCACTCATGTGAATGAGCACCGATTTGCCTCCGATTTCGGGCATTTGTCTGATTTCGCAAAACCTGTCGGAGAGTGAAAATCGTGCAGTGTGAACTCAGCATTAAAGCCAATTTATACTTCTGCGTCGAACCTACACCGTAGTTTACGCATAGACGCACACCCATACGCCGTAGCCTGACGTGCACCTCTCCAAAAATCTTAACAGCGCGTCAATTCTACGCAGACCGCAAGCGCTGTGATTGGTCTGCAAGAACCCCTCCCTCCATATGTACTCGACGCAGAAGTATAAATGAAAACTGATGCATAGCCTACGGCGTGGGTCCGACGCAGAAGTATAAATCAGCCTTTAGTCCTACTTAATTCCTGAATCAACTGTTTGTATGAATCTAATGAATGAATGACTCAATAGCCGTGTTTCCATCCAAAGTTGCAAATTTAATTTATGCACAAAATTGGAATATTGCATAAAACATTTGCGAATAAGCACCGTTTCCATCCAACGAATTAAAGAGAACAAAATCGTCACTTCCTTATAAACTGACACTAAATATCACTAAGAAAAGTAAGAGAAGCCACTGAATATAATAATTGACATATATGATAACTTACTTGCGCCTTGAGCATGCGAAACACAATAAATGCGGTCAGGGTCGGCGCCAGAGCGCACAAAGTGAGGGGGCAGGCACAATTTATTGGGGGGGGCTGCTTTGAAAAAAAAAAATGTTTCTGAAAGTAATTTTCAGATGCAACGGGGGAAAAAACGGGATAAACACAAACATGAAACTTGTAAATAAAATAATCTGAAATGAGCAAAAATATGCCACAGTGGACCGGGTCTCACGCCGAACGGCACGGTGAACGGTTGCGCTGTTTCCAATGAATGCAGTAGCTTTGTGTGCGCGAGGCGCCGGCGCGATCAAACAGCTGAAACATAAAATAGACTACTCCGTCATTTTTGGTCATACAGTAGGCATAATTCGAAACTGCAAAGTGCAAAGTGTTAGCAGTTTGAAAATTCAAGAATAATAGCAAAGTTAATAAGAATTCTTTCTAAATGCAGCACCGTTCTTATTTCGCTCTGCATAACCTGAACGAAAAAAAAATATTTTTTGCTAAGAACGAACCGAAATGAAAACATTTCGCTTTTAATCTGTGTATTTAACAGCCTGGGAGACCTTCCCAGGGCAGTACCTTGCCTCACCGACTAAAATCAGGGCGCCCACTACGGAGACGGCACCAGAGGTGAGGGGGCACAGTGACCGAGGTGGCCGGGCCGGGCCCCCTCAGGCCCCCCCGTGGCGCCGACGATGAATGCGGTCATTGCTTTCGGAGGTGGATGCTGCTGTTTGGGAACGCAGTCGTGAAGGACAGTTCGGGGGCAGTTATACAGAAATACTTTGACGACAGGCTTTGCTTGGGCATTTAAGAATGACCAAAATTTAATTTGAGATGCTGTGCAACGAGATCGATCTGCTGGTTAGTCAGGTTTTGCCGTCCCGTCGCGCAAAGTCACATGACTTTTTTAATGCGCATGGAGGAATTTATTCGCAAAATGCGTTTCCATCTCCCATTGTTCGCATTAACCATTTTTCGCGCAAGTCAAAACTACCTCAAGCGAGCGTGAACATTTTTTTTTGCGAATGAAGGGATTTGTTTTTTTCCAAATTAGTTTCCATCAGCCGTTTCCGATTAGATATCTTAATGACTTAAGATATTTACTGCCACCTACTGGCAGGTTTAGTTTCTTATTTAGAGTATCATTAAAAAGTAATTTCATATTTACATATTAATAAAAATAATTTGAAAATAAAAATAGGCCTACAAAAATACATAGCCTATTCATAAAGAACTTAATTTTATTAAAAATGAAAAAAGAACATGAAAAAATTAAAAAAAAATCTGTGCATAAAAAATTCTATTAAGCTAATTTGATTAATTAACCGCCACATTGTGTAATTAATTAGATTTAAAAAATGTAATAGCCCTAATATATATATATATATATATATATATATATAATATGTGTGTGTGTGTGTAGATATAATGGCATGCTTACTGTAGTGTATAAAAGCCTTTTAACTCCAGTAAACAAGTCCATATAACTGCATTTGTTTGATGTCTGAAAGCCTCTTATAAGTAAGAGTGATAAAAGGTCTGTCATTGGTGTTTGACTGCTTGTTTGAATTAAACATAATCTTGACCTCATTATGGTAATATTTTAACGAGTCTGTAATTGGAACATTTCCCTGCTGATTTAAAGTGCTGATTTAAAAGACCAGCTTTTATAGTTTGGTACCCAGGGAAGCAGGGTGTTGGATCTTTTTACGAGACTTTGTACGTCTGTACATGTGATTAGAGTATTTACGTAGGCTATTTAAGAAATGACACTTTACTGTTAGTGATGTTTCAAATTGTGATGAAAGCTATAAAGATGACTATACAATTAAACTGAGGTTTAGCAGTCACGCCAATGGCCATTTCTGTCTTTAAATTAGCAGCTGTGCTGACTGGTTATCTGCCTGTTGCTTGCGTTCTTGTGATTCTGGTTTTTTTTTTTCTGCCTGT